TGGGCGCAAATGTAGTCATCACTGGAAGGGATGACCAGAGAATCCAATCTGTGGTCAAAAAGTGTGAATCACTTTCCAAACAGAAAGCACTGGGAGTTAGGGCTGACTTAATGGTGGACAAGGATGTCAAGAATTTGGTTGAGAAGACTATCACAGAATTTGGGAAAATAGATATTCTCGTGAATAACGCCGGAATTGCATTGAGAGCCCCATTAGGGGACCCAAAATATATCGACATTTTTGACAAAGTGATGAACACTAATGTCCGTTCAATTCAAGTATTGACTCAATTAGTGGTTCCATATCTCGAGATTACTAAAGGAAACATTATTAACATCTCCAGTGTTTTATCAATGACCCCGGTAAGTATATTGTATATATTTAACTTTTATGTATAAATAATATTCACTAACAAGCTCAAAATATAGTCCTCAAGTACGATGGCATACTGTATGGCCAAAAGTGCTCTGGATATGTTTACCAAATGTTTGGCCCTTGAGTTGGGGCCCAAAGGGATTCGTGTGAATAGTGTTAAGTGAGTAATAAATTATTTTTATACCAATTTTTATTATTTAATTGTTTGTCTATTGAATAGTCCGGCTATTATTCGGACCCCAATTTTCGAGGCGACCATTGAATTGCCTTTTGTAGAGAAGTTATGTCGAGACACATATCCGTTGCAACGAATCGGTGAACCCGAGGACGTGTCGGAAGCCGTGGCATACCTGTGCTCACCCGTCGCCTCATTCATAACGGGCGCCATTTTACCGGTTGATGGCGGATGTCTTAGGGACCCCTCCTGGTTGAGCGCAACCAAAATACAATAAATTTAGTCATATTTTGTTATTATGATTAATAATTACTGAATATAATACATTTATCTTTAAAATATTTAATAATGTTTTACATGAAATGTCTGAATAATGTTATAAAAACATTTTAATATTGTAGTATGTTAAAGTTATTTTTAAAATTATTTGACTCATATTATAATAACTGTTCAAAAATTTTGAAAATAATTTTACTTGTTTTTACCTGTTATACAAAAAGCATAAATTATAATCGATACGGAATAGTGATGATTAAATTGCATTGAATAATAATTATGAATTTAATTTATTTTTATTTTATGTAATTTTGTCAATTTGAATGTGGGTTTTAGCTTTCATAATTATTAACTTACATGTTAGTTTGTACCAATATTCTAGAATAATTGCTTATTTACAATTCAATTGATTATGTGTACTAAACGTGAAGTTTTTTCTACAGTAGTAATCAATCTGACCTTCATGGTAAAATACTAGTAATATTACCATAGTTTCGACATAGAGTACAATAATTATTTATCTCCAATATATGATTCGCTTGTTTTGATACAAATTTTAGCGCATTAGGTACTCAATGACCAAAAAGTACTGTATACTTTTTCAGAGTATATAAGTTATTCATCCAGTATTCAAAAATATGATTTGTGTTGTCTATTCAATCTGTAAAATATTTGAATTTTGTTTTATTTTTAATAAATTTTATATTACTTTTTAATACAATGGATTTCAATGGGAAAGTTGCCTTAATAACAGGTATTTTCATATTTATATTTATGATTACCGTATAAAGAAAATATAAATGAATTATGTTTTCAAATCTAAGGCTCGTCTTCGGGTATCGGCGAAGGGATTGCTCTGAAGTTGTCGTCTTTGGGCGCAAATGTAGTCATCACTGGAAGGGATGACCAGAGAATCCAATCTGTGGTCAAAAAGTGT